CCACCTTTTTTATAGCAAAACCCAGCCGAGGAAAATAATCAAAAACAGAACAAAGTAAATGTTACCATGTGTTGCTAATAGATAGAAGAGGCCAGTTCATGATGCCATTGACTATATGACGACCTGAGTTGCTTTGATTTCACTGGCTCTCCCTTTTCTCTCTTTCTCTTTGCGTCCTTTTGTCTTCATGCTATCGGTTGACAGATTCATCAATATTCATGACACGACCAATACACAGACAGATGGGTTTCCGATCTGGGCTGCGGTATAATTATCTGTTTATGGGCTTTTGCTGTGTCTGAGCCCTCCACAGCTCAAGAATTGTAGCTCCACGATATATCAATACAAACAGTGCCATGACATGAACAAGCCCCTCCAGATCTTCCAAGCAGCGTAACCAACCAGTGAGATGCATGCACAATTACGATGGAAAGAAAGGATATGAAAAAGGCCTGTGAGATATGAAAGTATATTGTCCAAATTAACATATTTCCTTATTCTCTCCTTCCTTTACTGGCCTTGACCTCCTTTTTCTTCCCTTCTCTTGTTTTCCCCTTGTTTAGTATGTTTCGCTATTTACCCTCCCAGTTCCTTCTGTGTCTACTGCTTTCTTTCCCCTCTATCTCTGTTGTGTTGCCATCGGAAACAAAGGCGGTGTCTCAATGGGATACTACATCTAGGTGTTCATTAACCATGTTTATTTTCTATATGTACAATTTTTCTACAGTATTTACTTTTATTTTTATTGTTACGGTTCTTTGATGAACATAAAGTGGAAATTTATTATGAAAAATAGTTTTGAAGATTAATGAGTAAATAAAATATTACCCAAGTGAGCCTGGACTGTGTTCTGTTTGTCGGTTTTTGCCTCCATTAGCTTGCAGACAAAAATACTGTGTTAAATAGGCCATATGAGATCAGAGGCTAATTTGGAAAAACTAAAAGTAACTCATATTGCGTAAGGGGGGAAATCTTAAAGTAATAGTTCATCATTTTGGGAATTATGCTTCTTCACTTCCTGGTGAAATGTCCATCCGGTTTGATACACTGTAGAAATTAGGAAACTGACAGCATCTCCAAAAAATTATTAATTAACCATTAATATTTGAATTTATTTCAACTAAAATGTTTCAATTCCCAACTCTGGAACACACTTAATTTCTGAGTTTTACTTTTATTGAGAAAGTAATTTACTTGCAATTTACTCAGATTTAGGGAGTGATGGATTATCGGGATTACATAATCATGATACAAAAAAAAGTAACTTTATTCCCTTCCAGGAATAAAACGTTGTGTAATGTATTTTCTCTTGTATTCACTTGCAGTGCATTTAATATTGAAGTGCTTCAAAAGTAATGGAAAATAGTCAGGTTACATTACTTTTATATTTTGGTACTCAGATTACTCATTAGATTTTCTTAAATTATCTAGCAATTGCAACGGAATACATTTTCAAAGTAACCCCACCCAACATAGCTTTTTCTTTACTGTTAGAAATGTAAACCTTAGTATTTGAACAAAGATGAACCAATCATTATAGTGTTCATATCCAAGAAAGTACACTCAATAATAATACACTGATAATAAAATAATAATCAGTTGCAGCCCTACTTCGGAAAGAGCTAAACTAACATCTGCTTGATCCTGCGGTATATTTAACGGGAGTGAGAGTGGTGCTGATCTCCAAATCCAACTCCGCCAGAAAGTGAATCAGCTTGTTTCTCAAAATGTGGAACTATATCTATAGCCTCTAGCGAAATATCGACAAGTTGCAGACTCCAACATATTTCTCCTATTCCCTTTCACCTTCTGCTTCATCAAAGTAAGGAAAGTTGCACCTTTTCTTTCAAGTCCTGCTGTGTCTAACTGGGACAGTAGACACACAAATCCCCACCTCGCACACACCACACAGGGCTTTGAAGTGACTGTGAATCAGTGCAGTGAGCAGTGGTCTCTGCAGAGTTGCTGTTTGCCGGATGAAAGAACCCTGAGACTCAGGGTTGAGCTTGCATCCTCAGGCGAGAGAAGCTACAAGGACCTGCTATTTTCAATAAACACCTCCCAAATGTGACTGTCTTGTTCTCTCACGGCTTGTCTTTCTTTTCTGTCTTTTTGCTCTGAACTGTCTGTGCTCAACAAAAGGCTTGTGTTTGGCTGTAACCATCTGTAGCTGTGTTGTCCTTGACCACAGCCAGCTAAGATAAAGACACAGCACCTGCTATACTCCGTTTATTAAGAACAAGCGGCAAACTCTGGGGCAGAGCCGGGAGGCCAATAAGGAAGTGCCACAAACTGCAGTTCATCTATTGGCCGATAGGCAATGACTGCAGAAAGGATACATTTCCATAGACCCCCATGTTAAAATGCCCAAATGTACAGCAGAAATAAACATGTTTCTGCCCCTGGATGCAATAAACATACAGTATATGATTAAGAAACAACACCAGTGCAAATCAGTTACCTAATGCTAACATACACCTCCAACATTTACATTTACAGATGAAAAGAGCAGTTTCGTTAATTATCTTCACAAACCAGAAAACAAAACCTGGATGGATGGAGAACTATATAGGCCGCACCGTTATCTCCATCAACAATTTGGTTGTGCATCGATTTATGGACAACAGGCTCTTCCCTTGAAAGCACGAAATGTTCACATTAACGCCCGCCTTGCCTTGTGTTGTGTTAGCTAACTCAGTGGTGCTAGCTATTGTTAGCTTTCTTTTGCACAGTGTTATCCAAGGAGACATTGCTGCTACATTATGTATATTTTTTATTATTTGTTTTATTTTGGGATGGACTGTCCCTGGCTCACACATGATCACATTAGCAGAAACATGTTAAACTATTATCTAACTACTTAGCTTACTTACCTAAACTCTGCTGGGCTTTGAATTTATAATATTATTTCAACCTCAATTTTCAGTTGATTAACAACTATGTGACCCTAACATAATGACAAGACATTTTTAGGAGTTAAACTTGATAATATTATGGTGTTGTGTGTTGTAACATGCCAACGTGCTTACAGTAAGCATGGTAACTAATATAGCATGTTAGCATTATCTAAAGGGGAAACGCATGTATCTTAGTTGTATAAAAATGATTGACGCTCCGGACAGAGCTTACAAAAAGACATAGCTTTAACTGATTTCACTTGAGTCAGTGTCGGTAGGGCCTGAAGACTACCAGTTTGAATATGACAGCAACTTTGATAGGCTGCTGCATGCAGGTGTGACAATGGTATTGCTAAGTCTTTGAATCTTCTTGTAAATATCTTGTTAAGTAAAAGCAGAGCCGAACGGCTCTGAGTAAAAGTAATGCCAGAAGTCAGGTCATTGTTATAAGAGACACAGAGGCTGCTGTCGTGAAACATTATGTGCGAAAACTTGAAATGATAAACTGGAAAACATCAAGGTGTAGGCTTGTACATTATCAATGCTATTTTTTCACAACAGACATTTGACATATAGGAGAGCAAGTGATTGAAATGACATCATCAAAAGCAGTGGTCCTTAAAAATGCCCCACTAAAGCCATATTAGTAAATGAAGAAGCACACTATCAGGGTCGTGGAACAAACTATCCTGAGAAAAATTTATATTTACTTTTTGATGTTCTGCATCTATAAGCTTGTAGATAAAGGATGCTGTCTAGCTTCATGCTGCAGAGTTAAAAGCTAGGCTACAATATTTCTTCCTGCCAGGTGCAAAATAATCAGCAAGGGATTGCATGTATCATGTATCAGCACATACATGCACACAGATGTCATTATCTTCCTCTTCCTCAGTCCTTCACTTCCACTCCTTTTTGCAGCTGCATATGTAAGACTCTGTCTATCTTCCTGTCTTTTCTCTCTTTTCTATTTCTTTCTTGCCTTGTGTATAAGCCAAACTGTGGGAGAATGTGTGAATGTGTGTGTGTGGTCATGTCAGGAGCTCAAGGCTGTGTTTTTCTTTCTGCTTTGGAATAAATAATAAAGGGCTCTGTTCATCCACATGCGGTTCCCACAGTTCGAGAAACACAACTATGTATCAATACAAAAGAATATGTGTGGGAAACTGAAGACGCATCAAATAGAACATTGTAAAAGCTTTAACATGATTTGATTGCAGTGTGTGTGTGTGTGTGTGTGTGTGTGTGTGTGTGTGTGTGTGTGTGTGTGTGTGTGTGTGTGTGTGTGTGTGTGTGTGTGTGTGTGTGTGTGTGTGTGTGTGTGTGTGTGTGTGTGTGTGTTTGTGAAAGAGAGTGTCCTTGCAGGCTGTCGGTCCTGCTGACGTGTGGTGACTGCAGTTAGAGAGGAATATTATGTCCATCGCTATCACAGCTAAGTGTACTCATCTTTCAACACAAATATGAGACAGGAGACAAAACAGATTCACGCCTGTTCCCTAAAATTATCCCGTTTGTGTTAGTGTAATCACATAACTTGGAATTTGAAAAACAACGGGCCAAAAATAACTCCCTTTTGTCTGTATTTTTGTTGTTTGTTCTATGTATCTTTGATACGATTTCCAAGAAACATGAATGTAACTCCATCAATATATAAAAATACACAGATAAAGAGAATATAAATTACAAAAACATTATTCCACCACACACACACACACACACACACACACACACACACACACACACACACACACACACACACACACACACACACACACAGCAGAGACCTCCTACATCCTCAAACACCAAAAGCTTTTCACACGCCCCCATTATTCACCAGTGCATGGGAGAAACCCCCAAATCACCTCACACTTCTTCTCTTACTTCGACCTAGCGGGGACCCAAAGTTGTTAGACTGATAAACGGGCAAAACTATTTATATCAAATGTGGAGTGTAAGCTTTGGTTGACAGCCTGCATGTATGAGAAACACCACGTGGGAGACAGAGAGACCGGAAAACAAAAAAACAAATATCAATCAGAAGAAGCAAAGGAAGAAAAACAAGGAGATTTAAAGAGTACACACCTAAAAAAACAACATCCTGCAAAGATGATGGTGGTGATTCTGATCATGTTCATGATTGTGATGATGAAGACAGCGTCACCTTGCCCGAAAATTGAACAAGATCTTTTTGGGGTCTTAAAGATTCCATCAAATGTCTCGAGCAGCACCAAATGCCTGTGAGTACAAACATATACATATGTACACGTTTAATGCACACTAAAATGTGCTGTCTAAACCACTTTAGATATTCCAATTTGCTTGCTACACAATAATTGAACATCTAAGAGGAATACTTTGGATTTTCCTTCAATAACGTCAATGCCTCTTAGCTCTTTATACATGTCTCTGCTTGTTGGCAACTGTACAGAAAAACAAAGGATATGCATATATGGAGCCTCGTGTAAAATAGTTCTTCTTCATCTTGTCCCTATTGTAGATGGTTTTCGTGAACATGTATATTTGTGCGCTTTTCTTTTTTGCATTTCTTTTTGTAGTTATGAGACTTACATTTCAAAAAGAAGGACCAGGAACTAATCAGCTAAAAACCAATATATCCTGAATTTGAATCCGCTTTACTTGTCAAGCTCTGGATAACATGTGATCATACATTTCCTATAATGCCAACCAACTCAAAAGCTCAATTAAAATGTCTTGTACATTTTTGTTTTTTCGCTATAAATCTGTAGTCTCTAGCCATTATCAGGTCATTCTATCAAACTTTAGAAAACTCAGACTTTATCAAAGCGTTTTTTCTGAGTCCTCTTTATGATTTTCATGTATTAATGTGTAATGTAGTTGAGTAAAGTGTCCCTTCACTCAACCCCAACAGCCGACATATGTCAATATTACAAGGAATCCAATCCAACCCAAAATAGTATTTCTCACCATGTAACACCAATCCAGATTCAGGGAGCATGCCTTTGTCCAATATCCCATCCCGTGAGCATGCATAATCATTTAGACTTTCCTCTCTAATCCTCCATCAGTCCTCATGGCTGAATTCTGCCCTGAATATGCAAATGCTGTCTTTATTAAATATTTGCTTAATGAAATGTATGCAGAGTGTGTTTGCTCGCCTCCAGCAACTCAAAGCTTTCTAATGTGTCCACAGGTTAAAGATGGCCAGTGGAGTTCTTATGTAAACAAACTAAAGTTACACTTACTGTCAATGTTTCTCACAAAAACACACTGTGTGTATCCCTGAAGCATAATCAATGTGTTGAATGCACGTTGTTCTTCCCTGTAGAAATGGTGCACAGATTACGTTCATGTTTACTGGCTTGCAATCGTCTTCTTCACAATTCTTTGCATATTACCCCTACCAAGGGCTGTCAGCAGAACAGCGTTATTCTAGTGTTTTGTCTGCACCCCAGCCCACAATCAGTAGTTATGGGCTCAGTGCTAAAAGTTGACATAATAGCTAAGCATAATAGCAGTATAGCTGGCAAGACCATATCTACAGTTTATAATAGACCTGCAAGTGATCAGGAAAATATTTGAAAACATTGTTGAACATCTTAATATTACTTGCGATAAATAAACCAATATAAAAGTGTTCTCACTGCCTGCTGCTTTCAGGACACCGATTAAACATAAGAAAATCCCTGTTTCTTTTTTTTATATAAATAAAGTGAATTATTTCCAACATTCTTTTATTGCACATATTGAACTGAACACAAAATGCATCCTAACGATTTCCATTTTAAAGGTCACTTATTATGCAAAATCCACTTTTTCATTAGTGGATTTACTTTTATACATAAACATGTGTCCCCTCTGTGTAAAGAGATTCTGAAAGTTTCAGGAAAAAAGATTGGCTCACTTTTTGTCCTGATCCATTTATATAAAAACCTGTCTGAAAATGAGCTTATCAGATTTTGGCCACTTTATGATGTCATAACGATTTTTTGGCTTGTGTAACCATTAGCCAATAACTAACCATTTAGTTATTGGCTTACAGGGAGTCGTGTGGTGCAGTGGATAGAGCCTTGATATGGGGATCAGATGGTCACAGGTTCAAACCCCACTGCAGTCAGCATGTCATTGAGTCCCTGGGCAAGACACTTCACCCCAAATTGCTCCTGTGGGGATTGCCCACAGTATTGAGTATGTAAGTCACTTTGGATACATGTAATGTAACCAAGGTAATTGTGCGGGCCTATGTTATATGTGTGTGAGGACAGATTTTGAGACTGTAATGGCGCATTTCCACTACACGGCCTCGCTCGGTATGGCTAGGACTGGCTCACTTTATGGCGCATTTCCATTACAGTTTAGGAACTGGGATAGTATCTATAGTAACGCAGTGTAGGCAGAGCCGTGACGTCATCTTCAATGAGAAAAAAACAAACACAGCCGTTAGCTGTTAGCACTCAGAGCTCACAGCTCCTCATATCTGTTCAGAAACTAGACAAAAGTTAAACAAATACAAACCACAGACAGTCTGTGTCATGGCGAATACAGTCGCTGGTTTATTTATGTCTGTATAGCCCCCTTGCAGTTTTTCTGGCCCCAAGACTCAGCCTGGTTGTTAATGGCCCTAGAACCACGATTTTATGGGGCCAGAAAAACTGTGAATTAGGACCCGCTAGCCGGTACTAGGCCAAGTGGAAACGCAACCAAAAATTGGCCCCTCACGGCTCTGCACGCTTAAAGCGAGCTCTGCTCTGCAGTGGAAACGCGCCATAATAGTGTTACTGGACGTATGGTATAGGAACTGGGGAAGGGCCCTGATTTGACATAATGACGTGTGTCAGCTAAATACTGCAAGTGATTTATGTGTTGTTTGACACATTGACACATAACTGGATGATACAGGGTGTGAACTATGAACTTTTATGTTGGCCTTTAAAAGGTTTTCAAGGAATCTCAAGGCCAGAAGGAGGAGGGGACGGGACGATGGTTGTGAGGGTCAGCCTAAGAATTAGGGTTTCCTAAAGTACAATCATCCACTTAAACATACACAAGAGCAACGCACAGATTTACATATTCTTACATTACAATACAGCTGACACACTAACTAACTTTGTGGCAGAAAGAAGAAGCGTCCATTCCCAAGAGACGTTCTGTGAACTCCCAGGAGGCGATGTGTGTGTGCTCATCGGTTCTGCTCAGCTTGAAGGTCAAGGCTCAGGAACACTGAGATATTTACAAGAATGCGGCAATGGACGGCCATTTCAACGAGGATCCAAAACCACCAGAGGCAGCATAAGCTTGGGATCTTTGATAGATATTCTGTAAACAAAACAGTTTACTTATTGTGTGAAAAAACAATTCCTAATATGATTGAGTAACATGCGCATAAGTGGAAATGTCCACCAATGACTTTTTAAGGATTTCTCCTCTGTGATTATGTTCCTGTGATCTTTGCTGAGAGCTGATGTGAATGGTCTCTGTATCAACAGGTCTATCAAGCATAATCAGATCACAGCGATCCCCAGGGGGGCCTTCCGCCGCCTGCAGAACCTCACGAGACTGTGAGTGTCTGCTGTTCATGTTTATTCTTTGACTTGGAACATAACGAACGGGAAGTCAAAACACGGAGGAGAAGTGGTCGGGCCTCAATTTCTTGGTATATTAGGGATGCAACGATATATCGAATATCGCGGTAAATAAATGTCTCAATACCGTCGTGAGACTGACAAAATCTACCGCGATTCTTTTAATTTTTGAAAAAGATTTTTTTTCTTTTTTTTTTTAAAACAATTTTTTTTTAAACCTTTATTTAACCAGATGGTCCCATTGAGATCATCGATCTCTTTTTCAAGGGAGACCTGTCCAACATGGCAGCAAGTAGGTTACAACATGAACATAAAACAACAGATAACACAAAAGGACATCGTATTTACAGGGCTACATGTACATACCTAGAGACATTGACAAGTACCAACAGTATATTTATATCTCGCCCTGTCAATAAGCCTCACCTTCTTGGCAAAAACTGTATTGTTTTTGAAGTGGTGGAGAGACAATGCACAGTTTTACCCACTGCTGTCACCCATGGCCAAGCATATCTCTCTGTCCCAGCAACATCAGTACCAAGCAAGAGAGTTTTTTCCACAGCAGGGGATATTGTAAACGCCCAAACATCCCAGCTTCTACCTGTAAATGTGGACATGCTCATATTCCTAAAAACCTGTCTGATGATGCTGAGTGAGTGAGTTAGTGAGTTAGAGTTGAGTTACTTGAAAAACTAAAGTGAAACTTGATTTATTCTATTGCAGGGTCTGATTATTATATTGTTGACACTTTAAAATACTACTATCCTACTAAAATGCTGTACAAATCAGATTTATTATTTAATAAAGAAAAAGAAATTCAAGTAAAAAAAAAAAAGTAAATTTTATTTTTATTTTTCAATATCGCGATAAATATCGTACCGTGGACTTTTTATCGCGATATTATCGTACCGTGAGTTTTGGGTATCGTTACATCCCTATGGTATATAGATTGAGATTACAAATACAGCCTTGTGTTTGGATTAATTTGGCGGTGACTCTACCTTAGGTGTCATCACATCTAAACTAATGGAAAAAAGAAAGGCCAAAAAATGCTATTTGTCCTGCAAACCTTAGTCTTGTATTGTGTGTTCATGTGGATAATAGCGAACGAAAAATGTATGGTACATACTGTAACGTTGAATGATTGCCATGATTCCCCATATATATATATATATATATATATATATATAGTATTTACATGAGATTTAATTAATCAAATCACTAAAACTATGGAAAACAGGAACCAGAAGTACTGCAATTCTAATTGCGCCTTTAACTTCATTAGGTTTTTTTACATTGTGTAATGTAATTATTTGAAATAGCAAACATGCAACAACAGGGATGTTAAATTAGTCTTTATAACAAAAACTCTCTACAAAATGTAATTTGTAATCTCTGTTTCTCACCACAAACATAAGTTTCATATCAGGGAACCACATGCTGGAGAATATCAGCGCGTTTGCCTTCGCCAGACTCCCCCTGCTAACTATAATGTGAGCATACCGTTTTTTTTACACTACCTGTGACGTATTTCATACAACATTCTCTGTTATGGAACAAAAAGAGCTGCAAACTCTGAGAAAGCAGCTGAGGAGTAAGCTCATTCTTCTGTTCCCCTCAGCGATATCTCTGACAACGGTGCTTTGAGGAGTATAGGGGCTTCTGCTTTTTCTGACCTCCCTGAACTCAATACGATGTAAGTATAACACGATAATGGCAGCTGTGAAACCATGTCATAGCAGTCGTTTATATTAATGGGTACATATGCATTCCTTTCAGAACCATAATGAATGCAATACACCTGATCCACATCCATCCAGATGCATTCAAGAACATCATGAAACTAAAGCATTTGTAAGTAATGGGGCGAAGCCTGCGAGCTAGTTCAGCCAGTCAACTCGAGCACCAATCATACATTAACATGTGACGCACCTCGTCCCTCTTACAACCAACCAAACACATTCTCCTAAACATGCCGCTCTATTTAAGCTGCCAGGTCTTCCTGCCTCTGCCTCGCTATGCTGCTGCTGCCACTGCTGTGTTCACTTGCTATTGCTGCGTTCATGTTCCTGCTGCTGTGTTTCATGTTGCTGCTACTCACCTGCCCCATCACCACCCCAGCGTCCACCTGTAGGCTCGGGGGATAGTTATCTAATCATCACTCAATGTTCTTTGTAAATCTGTGGAGTGATGAGGCCCGAGCCTAGACGCCAAACTCAAACTATATGCTGCTTATAATAAACATATTAAGAAACACGTGAGTTGTCTGACTGAACTCAGTGATAGTGTAATTCTTCCTTCTTCAGTGTGTGTTTTTCAAGCTGATTGTGAGTCCAAATTGGGTCATGGCAGACAGGCCTACTTTAAGGGCTCCCTCACGACCAGTGGAAGATAAATCAAGTGTCACACATTGTTCATTTCAGCAATGTAAAATATGCATTTATTGTTTACATCTTTTCAAATAACTTAAAGTAATTGTTATAATTCATAGCCAAAATTCCTCTCTTTGAAAAAACTTTTCTTAAATGTGGTATTATTATTTAAATGTGTTAAATGAAAGGCTGAAGTCAACTGAGGTGGGATAAGTAGTTAAGTAAAAGTAGAAGTACCAGAGTGTTACAAGTAAAAGTCCTGCATTCAAAATGTTACTCAAGTAAAAGTACAAAAGTATTAGCAAAACATACTTAAAGTACCAAAAGTATTGGCCCATTTTTAGAATAATATATATGATATGTTTTGATTATAATTATTGATCATTAAAGTGTTATTAAAGCTGGTAAAGGTGCAGCCAGTTTTAATGACTTTGTATACTGCAGGGTAGCTTGTGAATTTACTCCAGGTGTAACAAAGTAGCAAAAAATGGAAATACTCAAGTACAAGTACCTCAAAAGTGTACTTAAGTACAGTAATTGATAACATGTACTTAGTTACTTTACACCACTGGAAGTCAGTGTCCTTGGAAAGTTTTGTTCTATAAAAACCTAAATTGAATCCATTGGATGTAGCAAAGAAATGGCAAAAAAGTCCATTTGATTTATTTGGAGGGTCGTTTGGATTGAATAGAGATGGTACCTAGCACTGATCAAATTATATGAAAAAATCAATCAACTGTGAGGTGTCTCCATATTATGGTTCGATATTCAAAATATTGCTTTTCAAAAATGTGTTTGTTTGTCTTTCTAAATTCAAAACCTTTTTGTCCCAGTTTTAAATGGGTGCTGAATGTTTAACTTGTTATGTGTGTTTTTTTAGAACAGGGAGCGCTTTATTTATCCCCCTGCCACATGAGCTTCTCTCTGAATATCTTGCAATCTCTTCACTTAATCATTTGTGTCCCTGTTAATACAATGAATGCAACATTGTCTGATTTTATCACGATGACTCAGCGCACAGAATATGTGTTGTTCAGAGTCTGCAGTCAGTGTGACTGTAGTAACATTTGGTGGTTAATCTGCACCTCACAGGACCATCTCCAACACCGGGCTGAGAATATTTCCAAACTTCACCAAGATCCACTCCACGGCCAAAGGCTTTCAGTTGTACGTATCTAAACACAAATGCCCACACACTATTATTCCCACTTGCATTTGAACATGTAGGCTATTGTTTGCACACAGAGTTAAATATGCCCAGAAGAAATCACACCATTGAACAAAACCTACGCACTGAGTAGTCCTTACAGAATGGAGTATCAAGAAAACAAACCATCTGTCCCTTATCCCCGGCATTTATAAATTCTTCTTCAAACCATCTGACATCCATCAGCTTCAAAGTGGATTTAAAGAAGATTGCAGCATGTATTCCTGATATTTCTTGTGCATTAATGTTTTTATCTTTGTGCTGCTTAGTGAAATGGAAGATAACATCGACATAAGGAAAGTCCCCAGCAATGCCTTCAGAGGACTCTGCACTCAACGCATCAGCAAGATGTAAGACATTCATTACTTTTTTAGTAACACGTGCGCCACCCTCGCACAGCTCTGAGTGGGCATTACATGCGCAATGATGAATGTTCCCTGAAACACTCTCTGCCCTCTTCACTAAGTCCTGCATGTGTTTCTACAACTTGTCTTCTTCTCAGCAGTTTTAACACTCGTGCTGCCTCTTTGTTTTTATTCCATTGAGTATCTCCATATGTATGCTACCTTACGTCTCTTTCTCTCTACTATACTATATTTGTAAGTTAAAGGTCCGATGTCATGGCCATTTCTACTGATCATAATTCCATTGTTGAGGTATACTCAAATAGATTTATACTGTGCAATTTTCCAAACTCACATTGGTTTCTCATACAGCATCTCTGTATAGTATGTGTATTCACCGGTATTCACTCTCTGTCCTAAACGGCTTGTTGGAGCTCCTGCCCCCCCCCCCCCCCCCCCCCCCCCCCTCCCTGTGAGCCCAGTGTGCTCTGATTGGTCGGGACGTTGAGAGGCTCGTTGCTGCGATCTGCTGCGAGGAGCAGACAGGCTTCCGTGTCGGCGATACAGCGAGACAGAGCGAAACTCATCCTGAGCACACACAAACACTCACAGCCGAAGTAAAAACAATAAGTGTGGCTTGATATTGAGTAAGAAAAAGGTTTATAACGCTGTGAGAATGGGTCTGCGGAGAGCATTTCTCCGCGATCCCAACTTAGTAGCCCGAAAAACGTTTACCCATTTAAACAGTCGTGGTAGATACCTTGTTTGTTTTAAACATCATACATACACAAACAACAATGAATACTTACAGGTTGTGTACCCGAATCTCCCGCTGGTCCAAACAAAGTAGGAACAGCATCGTTCTTCAGTGCCCTACGCTGTACATATCCGGCATGAATCGCTGAAAGGTTTGGGGAGCTTTGTTTCGTCAAATGCTGGCAGAGGGTGTGGCCTCCATGTCAGAGTACCCAGGAAGAAAATGAGAAATTTCCAACGAGGCGTTTTGGGGCAGCATAGACTGTGTTAGTTTTACTCGCTACAGGGTGTACTTTGAGGGTTATTGACTCTGCAGACCGTTTACATGCATAAAAACCTTCATAACACACAAGGGGACGGGTAATAACTGGAAAAGCATGACATGGGACCTTTAAGTAGTGTATTGCTTACGTACATTTTTCCAACAGTTTATTAGATGCTTAACAAATCATTATTTAAATACAAACCCTCTCATCAGTAAATAAAATACTGTATATTGAACTACCTGACATATTGTAAAAAAGTAACTCCCTCTCAACCAGTTGCAACAATAAAATGCTTATAATTAATAATATCATATTATAATACATAGAATGTACCAAAACACAGAGTTCCTTCAGATAACTATTTACTTTACTTTTAATCTTTAGTACTTTAACTTGTACTAGACACATTTCTTTCAAAAGTTGGACACTTAAAGGTAAGGTAGGTAAGTTTGAGAAACCGGCTCGAGATACACTTTTTGTTATATTCCATGGAATGCTCTTAACATTCCGATAGCAATGAATATCTTAAGTGCTTTGACAAAAAATCCATAAAAAAATGTCATCTGTGGAAGCCGTAGTACTGTAAAAAGCACGACCAATCATTTTAGCCGGCCCGGCTAAAATAACTGGATGGCCTACCTGCCTGTCAGCCTTCCATCTGTGCACAAACTTATCTCGTGCCCTCATTGGTCATGTGCGCGTTCGTGTGTCTTGGAGGAGGGGCTCTGTAAGGAAGTGGCAGATTTTCTCCGGCTGTGTATTTTCTAATTCTAGCGATCTCGAGCTGGTTTCTCCAAAATTACCTACCCCACCTTTAACAACTGTATATATAGAAATATAATCATATACACTGAAAAAATTGAAAATGTTGAATTTAATGTATTATGTCAACAGATTCCACATAATTGTATGAGCTTAGTTGAAAGCAATAATATTAAGTTTAAAATATTCGGTTCAACTTAATATTATTGCTTTCAGTAAAACTAATTCAATGATGCACCTCTGCAAGAAAAGTGTCATTTTAAAAATGCGAATTCTTGCTTATAATGGAGTATTTATAAATTGTGGCATTACCGCTTTCATTTAAGTAGAATCTAAATATATAGCTTAGTCTATCTAACAAATGTTTTTTGCCAACAGCTTCTGGAAGTCTTACATAATAGTTAATACTTTCAATTTCGTGTTTTTGTGAAATCATACCGTTTAGTCACTTCGAACAAAGGAACTGCAGACACTAAAATTAGCTTGTATTATTCAGTAGAGTTTATTGTTAGGAATTGTTTGTGTTGGAGCCACATAACTGTTTTTTGGCTTCCCTTTCTAATGACAGAATGCTCCCCAGAAATGGCATCAAGGAGGTGGCAAGTGACGCCTTCAACGGCACAAAGATTGGCAGATTGTGAGTCACAGGCACAAACGATACAAACAGAAGATTTACTCAAAAAGAAAATAAAAAAATCATCTTACATATTTGATTTTGTCTCTCTTAGGTCCCTAAAAGGAAACAAACAGCTTACTCACATCAATGACAACGCCTTTGTAGTTTCCAGTGAGTTGGAAATACTGTAAGCATGACATCAGCAGTCACTCATGATTCTCGCTGCTCATCATCACTTATAAAAACTAGGAGAAAACGACAAACACAATGTGGCTCAGAAACACCTTATATACATGCCAGATTCAAGGTAAAAATAAACCAAGTGCTTTTAATCCGGTTTGGAGAGAGATTTCTTTCACCTGTTTGTACTCCAATCAAAGAGACACCTATTGAAGTAGCAATCAGAAGAAAAGACTGTTGTAGTTTAGACTTTCATTGCTGTGGTGTGTTTTTAATACACATTCCAACAGTCATTTGGAAATCTATCAGTCATGAATTTTCTACCAATAATTTATGATTACATTTTGTTACTGGAGATTCTATTCCCTTAAAAAGGTGAATTTAAGCTTTGATTAACTTACAAGACATATGTTAAACATGGCATGAATTATGAAATGATGAGTGTTAGATAGCCATTTGTTTGTGTTTGTTTGTGTGTAGGGACATTTCCAACACAGCCCTCAGATCCCTGCCACACTACATCCTCGGTGGACTTCGGGAGCTGATCGCAGAGTCCGCACATAATCTGAAAAAGCTTCCTGATGTTGAACTTTTCACCAAACTCCAACGCGCCAACCTGACGTACCCGTCTCACTGCTGTCCCTTCCAAAGGATTCACAGAAACAGGTATGCATGCATTATCATCCCAAAAGGTTTATGAACAGGAAATTAAAGGAGTATTAGATCAAAAAAATATGCTGATTTCTTGCAGAGATATTGAATGAGAAGATCAATGGCACTCTTATGTTTTTATTTCTCTGTGTGAAACAATTATTTTAAAAACAAATGTTCAACTTTATGGGCTTTTATCAAGATATTTTTTTTAGAATTCTCTCCAAAAATGTATATTCTTTTCCTAATTATTATTGCAAAGATGTATGCCCAGACATCACACGTATTTTCGATTAGGCTAGCATATCAGCCATTTTACACACAGTCTATTAAATAACATTTTATAGGTTTTACTGTTGGGGAAACATACAAACATATATACCCATTTATTAGGTCAAATGAATGCAACATTTTAGTCAATTTGATCACATTTTTTGTGAGGGTGTATACAACGCATAATATTTAAATGTAAATGACTAACAGGAATATATTTTACATATTTAAGCAATGTTTTGTATGTGATATCAGTGTCTTCTCCATTGTTGGATCATTACAATTAACTAATACTATAGAACTGCCCACAGAGCCTTGATCTTGAGGTCTTGTTGACATCAAATCTGTAAAGTAAAGAGGATAATGTATTTATGGTAAAAACAAAGTAGAACTCTTTGTGGCATTTTGTGCTAGATCGGGGATTGAGGTCCTGTGCTCCGATCCAATCACCAGGGAAAACATTTCTAAATTCCTAAACCTCAACTGCCCCAACTTCACCCTCGTCACCTGCACCCCAACCCAAGATGCCTTTAACCCCTGTGAGGACATCATGTCTGCTGTCCCCCTGCGGGCCCTCATGTGGATCATCTCTGTGCTCGCGCTGGTGGGGAATGCAGCCGTTCTTCTGGTTTTGTTAGGTATGAAATACCAATATATAACAATCAATAGTAATTGTATTTCTTACTACCTTCCCCTAATCTGTCCTACTTTCTCTCAGTGTTTGTTTCTTAATTTCCTTCCCTTGTTTACTCTCTCTGCTTTCCTTCCTTGTGCTCTTTCTTCATTTTTACCTTCTTTTCCTAATTTCCTTCTTAAAGTTCCTTGCTTTTGTCCTTTGCTTATAGGCGATATCAGTTTCTTCTTCTCTTTCTCACGACAGAATATCGACTTGATGAGGTTTTACTGGTAGAATTGGTTCACAAAGAACAGTTTGATGACAAAGATTTTGTCTTTTTTCTCGTCCTCATGTGTTGTCAGGCAGCCGCTCCAAACTGACCGTTCCTCGTTTCCTCATGTGCCATTTGGCTTTCTCTGACCTCTGCATGGGCATCTACTTGATCATCATAGCAACGGTAGACATGCTGACTCGTGGCTTGTACTACAACAGCGCCATAGACTGGCAGACGGGCCTGGGCTGCAGCGTTGCGGGCTTCTTCACGGTGTGTTTGGAGTTCTGTGCAGGCAGATCCTAGCACTACATAAATAACAACACTCATAAATGTCTGCCTGTTTGTTTCCATGACAGGTGTTTGCCAGTGAGCTGTCAGTGTTCACTTTAACAGCGATCACTCTGGAGCGCTGGCACACAATCACACACGCTCTGCGGCTGGACCGTAAACTTCGCCTGAGACACGCGTGTGTCGTCATGACAGCAGGCTGGATCTTCTCCTCTATCGCTGCTCTGCTGCCCACAGTCGGGGTCAGCAGCTACGGCAAGGTGAGCGCTCTGTGAAGGCTGCACACTCTCCATACTCCCTGTGGAGAATATTACTATATGTTCCTTCAGAATTTGCTCCAGTCCATATGATTAGGGATGCAAAATGGTGAGTCAATTATTTTTCTACAAATGGACATACTGATTTATATGCATTGAAACATGCTTCAAACCATGCAAAAACAACTCATTAAATGCAATATTGTGTATGTTTGAGATGACATTCAGTAGATACAGGGCAGTTATTTTTATTAGTTTTTAAGCCAATTATTTCTCAAGTTTGATCCATAAAACATGATAAAAAAGTGAAAACTGTCAACCTTCTACAGCCCAAGGTAACATAATTAAATGTATTATTGTGGCTGACTAACATCACTGGTATTCAAGTCTTTAAAACATTAAAGAACCTGAAGATCATCAAATGTTTTTTTTACAATTAATTGATTAACAAAATGATTGCAGATACATTCTGTCAATCAACATATTCATTAATAAACTTAATCATTTGAAAATACACAAAAATGAATCATATCACACAGTATGCTCACTGAAGTGTCTGATAATGCATTTCCAATATCAAACTCAAATGTTTTTAAAGAAAGTTACAAGCTGTACAAATTCAGTTATATAAAAACGACTTAAAGGTTTTATTTTCTGGTGATGTAGTTTCTTTGTTCATCTGAATATAAAGATATTTCCATAAAGAGTAGATGTCTGTTTAATATCTTGGCCACAAACCTTTGAGAGACTTTAAAGCTTTCTTTGTTTAGCGTATTCATTCCAGTTTATATCATGATAATTCAGTACATGCAAGGCCTTTGTACACTGTGAGATTCTAGAATATGTTGATGTTCACCTGTCTGTATTTGTGTGTGTTACAGGTGAGTATCTGCCTGCCCATGGATGTGGAGTCTCCGATGGCTCAGGTCTACGTGGTGTCTCTCCTCCTCTTCAACATCCTGGCTTTCTTCTGTGTGTGTGGCTGTTACCTCAGCATCTACCTGACCGTCCGCAACCCTTCGTCTGTGCACGCCCACGCCGACACTCGCGTGGCCAAACGCATGGCCGTGCTCATCTTCACAGACTTTGTCTGCATGGCTCCCATCTCCGTCTTTGCTGTGTCAGCCGCCCTCAAGCTCCCTCTCATCACCGTGTCAGATGCCAAACTGTTGCTGGTCCTCTTCTACCCCATCAACTCCTGCTCCAACCCCTTTCTTTATGCCTTCTTCACTCACACCTTCAGGCGGGATTTCTTTCTTCTCACGGCTCGCTTTGGCCTGTTTAAAACCCGGGCGCAGATTTACCGGACGGAGAGCTCCTCCTGTCAGTAGCCAGGATAATACATTCACTCTAGATGGGTGCCCACTTTCATTTAAAGGGGACCTATCATGCTAAATGCACTTTTGTACGTCTTTTATACATGAATATGTGTCCCCGGTGTTGCAGGGAACTCACCAAGTGTCAGAAAACACAACCCTCTCTATTTTCCTCCATACCCAAATCTCTAAAAAAGGGGCTGCAACGGATCTGATAAAAACTGATCCAGATTTGAACACTGTCCTGACGTCAGGACGGTGGCGCTACGGCTATTGGGCCAACTCCACCAATCAGGAGGAGACAACCACGGACATTGCCGTTCGAAAGCGCTGGAGACGCTGTAGTACATATGCCAGGCCTGTAGATGGTGCTGTTCTCACTGAATCTGCCCTTACACAAACAGAGCTAAAAATTGTCAAATTGAGCAAAATGAGACATGGCTAAAATGCATGATCTGTTTGGTATTTTGAAAAAAAAAAGTATAAATATGCCTTATATGGGTATGGTCCTACACTATATTATTCAAATATAGCATGATAGGTCCACTTTAAATATCCATTAGTAAAAAATGTTGCTGGACTATCGAGAGTCATATTTTTCTCCTCAGACACCCTATTTCTCTCAGACATTTCTCTAGTTGGAGGAGTTATTGACATAACATACAGGATAGTGCTTCCTTAAAGTGACAAGAAACTAAACTTTGCTAAAGAGATGCACCTGTTGTCTTGTGTACAAGCTGTGGAAACACCAAACGGACAGCTCAATCCTCAATATGATGCACAAACTCCTCCTCTTGAGCTTTGGATGACATTGAATGTTGTTGGTTTTCTTGTATCTCTGATAAATATATTCAATATATTCTGCCAGCCACTGACTGACCTGTAACAAGTGTCCTTCCTAAACCATGTGACCCATGGGTGAATTTTACCGTGTGCAAACTCCTCTGACGTCATTGGCGTCACCCACCTTCACCTTTGTGCCAAGGTAAACTTTATTAGCTTTTAACCGTTTGACAGTCAACACAATACTTTGGTAATATTTACTTGGTTCTACGGTTAAAATGTACTTATCACAATGATGATACAAATGGTATGCATTGCCATGAAGGAATGAATGAATGAATGAATGGATGAATGGATGAATGTTCTATATTATTTTAATGACTGATTGAACTCCAGCAATATTCTTTTAGATATGTTATATGTTGAACTGCTTTGCCTGTCATCTCTGCTCTGTCTCACTGTGTTGTCTCCTGGGTTCTGTAGTGCCCGGAGTCTGTCTTTTTATTTTCTTCCTCCCAACCCCCATCCCCTCAGGAAGCCTTTTGACTCCTGTCAGGTCATCATTGAAAATAAGAATTTGTTCTTAATTGATTTTCCTGGCTAAATAAAGGTTCTACTACTACTAAAAAATGACATGCAAAATACAAGTAACACATTAAATAAAAGGAGACATTTTGAGTTAAAGCACTCAAATGTAATATATAATTTCTTGTAGAAGTCAAACACATAATCAAAGTCATATTTTTGTTTCATTGTATGCACAGTAGCTACGTTGACCAAATCTAGGTCAAATAGCTGTCCTAGATAATTATTGTGTTGATTTGAACAGATGGGTGGAGTTTACTGCATCATGACAACATAGATCCCAAATCAATTATTTAACTCTTGTGTACGAAATGCCATCCATCAGGTGCCTCAAAATAATGAAATAAACGGAATTGTTTTGAATCAGTATAACAAAGGTTATACGCACATAATAGATCAGCATTCAATGTTAGGATTAAATGATATTCAATAAGAAGCATACCGCAGGGACCTGCTGATTAATAATCTTCTCATAAACTCTCCAAGCCTCCACATCTCTCTATACCCTTCACTGTCTTAAAAATGAAGGACGAGTACTTATTTTGCGATGTATATACATTTATTGTTTTAAATGGAAGTATTATTATGTGTCTCTTTTAAAAAAATATCTATATCAGTGTGTTTTCTATAAAATACATCTTTGCAATGTTTTTTTTACATTTTGAATGGTGAATTTGAACGTGTGAGGAGAGTTAACAAAGGAAAACACACACTAACACACACAACATTCAGCTGTATTTGTTTTAGAAATGTTGTCCTTCATAGCATCCAAAGCTATCAAGGACAAAGTGACCCTACCAACCCCTGCTCTGTGTGCCAGGGTGGGTGGTGGGTTGTGGGAGGGGAGACTACACAGCTGCTCTTTCTGCTTATTACAGAAGGAAGGATATAGCAGCTAGATAAAACCCACAAACACTGAAGCAAGAAACCCAGGGTTTCAAGGCTGCAGCTGCAAGAAGGAATCCAAGTCCATCTCATTGATATGGATACACTGCCTCCTACATGCCAACGTTGAATGTGTGGCTGCATTTATATTCTTCAACCACCAGGTGATGCTACTGATGTGGGAGTTTTTGTGCTCTTCAAGTACCAATTGATAGTATTCCTTATAAAATGTGAAGACATAGCACATTCCATATTTCCAAATCAACGATAGAAATTTCATAAGAGATTTGCAGAATTCAGAAGTGCCCTTCTCGAATACAGATTCAAACTGTTCTGTCTGTTGCCATCTGGCAGGCGGTACTGCAGCATCCGGACTGCACCAGACTAAGGGACAGTTTCATCTCACAGGCCATAAGACTGTTAAAGACCTGAACTTTTGAAAGAACATCCATAACATCTGTTTGCAACTTATATATATCAATATTCCAATTACTGTATATAGAGTACTCTGCACAATTTCTATTATATTTTTATTTACTTGCACTATTATCTGTTTTATTGTGTTGCACTGTTGGAGGAGCCTGTGACCTAAGATTTTCATTGTCATAACTACACTGTAGCTATGACAATAAAAGCCTTGAATCTTGAATCTTGAATTTCAGTAATACAAGGGCAGAGTAAACACATAGCTGGGAGTTGAATCAAATCATTAAGGAACCAATCACTTTCCTTTTCCCACAGCCTCAGATGCAAGGACCTATAGTGCTGCCATGCTGAAAAAAGGGAAGATAAGGTGGTTTGGCTCCAGCTAAATTTAGCAAAGGAATGTTATGCAGTAGTGTAAAACATGCATTTGTCCACTTAAACATTACTGAATCACAGGGCAAAATATAAAACGGAATTTCAAGGTTTTTAAAAACCCTTAGTCCTTACCTGCCCTTACAGACAATACAGCTGAAAATCTTTAAAGTCCCTGGACAGAGTGCTGGGGAAAAATAGCACTGAAGTGTTAGGATGCTTTAAGTAAAGGTATGTGAAGATACTCCACTACAAGCAAAAGTATTGCTTTCAAACACTTGTCACAGTTTTTAGCAATGAGATAACCGACAAATAAATGGACTCATTGTTTGGTTCATAATGTTGCTGCATTAAAATATATGGTGACTTATACTGGTGAGAAGGGTGTGCTATATATTCTACTTTATAAAAATGGTGTGTAGTTTAATCTTTAGTAATGCATCAAAGATCATTGTATGGTAACCATGGTGTCACTGTCCTGTGAGAACCAAATATTTTTAAAGAAGTCTACATTTAACAAGCTCAGACAAACAGCCCTTCTCTCAGCGTTTTGACGATGCATTTTACAACTCATCCCAGAGGATTTTATTTTACCTAACCTAGGGGAGTAAAAAGTAGAGTTTTCATTGTAAGATTAAAGTGCCTCAAATTTGAGCAATTGTGCTTCATTGGATTTTTATCTGGAACTACTTTCAGATTCAATATGGGTATACAGTACTGTTGAATTAACTGTTGTAAATCAACTGTCCAACTCTACAACAATACATAATAAAGCAATACAAACCAACCAGATATCAGCAGAATGTAGTTTATTTGATAGCAACTCTGGGTTAACTTTGATTAGTTCAACCGAAGCACTTAAAATGATTGAATAGATTACCTCCCTGTGTATTCTAATGTAATTGTCCTTAAACTTATATTCATGGGTTACTTTAAATGATTAATTGCTGCTTTTGTTGAAAATGTAAAGCTCTGGTAAGAGCTCCTACATAAAGATTATCTCCAAATACAAAAGTAAAGTCACAAAAATACAAACAATTAACCTCTGAATAAAACAATGTAACACTACGACAAAATTATGAGCTCATACCCTTGTACTTTGCAGCCAAACAATGCCATCTGGTGGTCCAAATATATGAAATGATACCAATTGACCATGTTAATTAAAGTGTGCACCTACATTATATCATTGTGACTCCTGCAGACGTAAAAAGTGGCTTTAAAAAATATTGGAAATAAGTCTCACCGTGCACTCATGTCAGTTAAAATGAATTCTAATTGTATTGCTATAACAAATTGCTATAGGCTTTTTCAGTGTTTTGTTTTGAAATTCAATAATACATTGGTTTACTAAATGTGTATACTTAGTTGACATATTAAACACCCAAAGTGTAAAATGGCAGAAAGATAATTCAATGTATTTGTTAATTATTCTGTTAAAATCATTAGGTTATTCTAGTTTTTAACTAATCATAAAACTTACTTTTAAAGGACCCTTACATTTCCTTTTTAAATCGTTACTCCACTTTAAATTGTTTATCTGACATTGCATGCACTCTTCTTTGGCAGTTGCATCTCAATCTCACTTTAAGATTTTAAAATGTGAAACTTATATAAACTTCTCAATGTAAACATTGCATTCAACATGACCACAATCTCTGTCCTCCATATGCTCAGTGTCTTTCAAACACTCACATTTTCACTGACATATGGCAAACTATTAAATCAATTAGATAGAAAGACAATTGGACACAATCACAGCTATGCTCTTTGTTAATAATGGGCCACTGTTGAAATGCTTTGTTTAATATTAGAGTAGATCTCTCGTTATGTATCACTGACAATGGGGGGTGCAAAATGTATTATTTTTAGCATTATCATTGCCTGTGCATTGATCAAATCGCCGCTTGACCGATCCCGAACCCCAACAAAAAGGTTTGTCAAGTCGTCTGATATGAGGCGGC